CGTTTTAAAGCAATAACACATCTAAGCGGGTTAAATAATGAATAAATAAGGAGACTGGAAACATTATAAAAATAGGAGAAGCTTATAAATAATTTTTTGCTGCTAAATTTAAAATGTTATTCCAATTTTTATTGGTAGCTTAGTCTGTTTCAGTTATAGGAATTTGTATTTTTTATATGTATATATCTTATTGTTGGTAGTGGTCCAGCATTTTCTCAACTATCCTTTTTCCAATAAATAAATAAAATAAAGTGTAAAGGAAACAAACATTAAAAAAGTAAGTTATTTCCTTCTAATTTATAAAATTTCTGGAATGGAAACCATTGTATTATTTTTAAGGAGGAGAAAATTGTTAGTGTTCTGACATTTTAGTTAATAAATATCTCTACAAAATGGTTACTGTGTTTACAGAGGCGCACTATTCCTATATCTGATTTCTTATCAGTAAGGCAACTTTTTTTTATAGATTAAATAGCAGAGAATGTAAGTCTTAAAATATTATATTGTTAATTTACGATTTAAACTTTTTAAAATCTGTTTTCAAAGAATTTGTAACCAGATGTTCATTTCTTTTAACGCATTGCAAATTCAATTTTTTTTTTGTTATAAAAGGAAAAAAAGTGATCTTAATTAATTATTCAACGTAGAACTTCAGTTCGAAGCCGTTTTGTTACTCAATTTAATTGTTTAAGCGATTCGAAGCTCGCGTGTTTAGTTGTACTCGTGCATAACATAAGCTATGTTTAACCTTTTTAGAGATCAATTTTATCGCCTTACAACTCGCGAATACTTACTTCATTAGTCATAACAGTTTTACGAGTATTTAATATAACAAATTACGCAGATAACGGGCCATAAAGTCACTTTTTATCACCGTTCGACATTGTCTCTTAAATGAAATCTAATGCTGGAAATGTGGTGACGTATCGGTTTCGCCATCGATACTAAAGTCCGTGCAGATGGGAAGATCCGTATTTGTTATTTTTAAAATTGCGTAAGCTATTTTTAATAATAATTCGTGTCGCACGAGGTTATCTTTTTGTTTCCGATGTATTTTGGCTCTTGTGTTTTGCCAAAAATCCAATTAACCAAATTGCGTAATGTAGTTTTCGTTTAGTTCCAAGTGTGTTTTTTTTTAACGGGAATTTGCGTAAAATTTTACGAATTTTAAGTATGGAGAGTAAAAGAATTCGGTGTCATATTTGGATTTATTGACTGTAAGAGTGGAGTGTTTGTTTATAACGATATTTCAGATTGGGAAATGCTTACTCATACCCTAAAAATAACTGCGTTGGTGTAATGCCACCTGGAATTTTATTTAGATTTGTCGTAATTGTTAACTATGTAATTTTTCTATATACTAGTAAGTTTTAAAAAAACCAGCTCTTCCACGTTGCGCAAATTACTCGAATGTCCTATTTAAAAGTGCGGGTAACTAACACAACTAACGCAAAATTCCTTTAGTAAAATGCATGCCGTGTTTTCCGAGTCGATTGTAATTCGTTTCATAAGCGAAAAAGTTTAAATTACATCTTTAAAATATTTGCTAGATGTTGCACAAGCGGCTACGACGACTTTGAACTTTTTCTAAATGCTAAATAGGATAATGATATCGGCGACCTTGCGCAGCATTTAGATTATTTTATGTAAAGAGAAATCGGCGTGTCAACGAGTGTATATGCTTTATTTACAACGGTTCTGTGAATTTACGACCGAGCAAATTGATACGGCCTACACGCCGTTCTAGAAAACGGTTTCGAGGAATACCGGCTGCTGGTTTTCTCTATTATGTCGTCTAAATAGTCGAGGAGGTTAACGTAGTCGTGAATGCTTCGTTACGTCAACAAACGGAATAACTACTTTGGTAGAATTAAAGTGATTCTGACGCATCGTATTAAGTTTCCTGTTTATATTTTCATATTTTTATACTGTTTCGTTAAGAAAAGCGCATAATCGTTCGTCTTCTACGCTCCCCTGTAGAAAGGACCGAGCTCGAAACCCAGCGATCTGTTGTATATATTATAAAAAATTTAAAACACTCGAGATACTTCGTTACCAACTTCAAAGACGATTCGAAGAATCTCTTCGAGATGCTCTCGAAACTTTTAGGTACTTAAGCTATCGCGCCAACCTTTCCAGTTCTAATTTTACTCGGCGGAAAGTATTAAACGATTCATAATAATACTTTACGAGCAATATAAACACGTGACAAATTGCGGTAGAAGTATTTTTTGTGAATCGTAAATGTTTTTTTTTTTTTAAAGTCTCCTTCGGGCTTCCGATCGGGACTTGTACTTCACGGACCGATTCCACTGGAGTAAGATTAGTTTTGAATTTTGGCACGCCCACTTGTTAAACTCTGCGGCTACCCACGTGGACGCTTATCCCGGTTTTCCCACGCTCCAACCTGTTACCTTAACATTGAGCACTTAGCCCATACACATTCTCCAACCTACGGTGGAAATGTTACTAGGACGTTATTGTTCGGAAATTTTGTTTTGGGCTAAAACTAATTTTAAAATAAAGTCAAATCACTTACGTTGTTTTCGGGTCGTGCCGAATTTCGAAGAATTAACTTTTAAATCGTACGTATTGATTCGAGTTTGGTTGCGATTATGCGATAACCTGCGCGGAGAGAGGTCACTGGGATGAGTACGGGGCACGGAAGATAACCATCGCGTCCGATAGGACGATGCCAGAAATCGGGTAGAGGGAGGCAGAGGAGTCGAATGCACTCCGATAAACACGTTGCTGCGGTAGAAAGTTTCGAACTGCAGCGGTTTGGATCCTGCGGTGGCGCGTATTAAACCGAAGTCTTTAGTGTTTTCGACATCTGGCTTGTGTTTAGAAACATCCGGCGAGCATTTTCGCGTTTTTCACCCACTTGGTCGCGATCTAAGCCGGCGAGTGTGGGCGGCATTAGATTAAATTACCATCCCAGCCATGCCGTCTACACTCCACCCCCTTTCTCACTCCTCGAATCTCGATGACCGTCCCGGACCACCATTATGTAACTACCGGACCCAACTAATCAGGAAATATTGAGCGATGTGGAAAGAAGCCAAGAGCGATTCCACGTCCACATCGTTTGCAGGTGTCTCGTTTGTCGACGGAATGACTTCGTCTCGTCCCTATCAACCCTTTCGTTCTTACGGAAAGAACGTTCCTCCTCCGGCATGTAAGTTAACTTTTCTAGTTATTACGGGTGGGAGCGGGTTTGGCTCTAGCGCGTGCGAAGGTCGTCCGCGAATTTAGGATGCACCGGGATCGAGTCTTAAATCAATACGCGCCAAAAACGGAACGTTTGTTTACCTTAACGTATTTAAATTCTCGGAGGTCTTTTCCTCTATCGCTCCCACGCGTATCTCTGGGTGAATGATAAGTATGAGTATTTCATCAAATTGCGTAGTTTCGCCATTGTGTATTATGAAACGGTGTTGCGCTTTTAGAAAAACCGTAGAAAAAAAATATATGCGTAGTTCCTTTCTGTGCCAACTTTTACGACGTGCAACCACCGAACTTACCTGGCACAATACCCATTCTCTTATGTAGTAAAACGGGAGTTGGCTAACGTACGAATGCCGAAACGTCATTATTTATTTTTTTAATTAGGGTGTAGTTAGGAATTGTAACGTTATGGGACATCCTCGCCCACGACCTCGTTTGGTACTCCAGAAACGTGTACACGTACACCCAGAGATGTAAATTCGAACGGGAATTGCCGTTCGAACGTCGTTTAAAAAAACCCCAAAAACTGGTTCCTTTTTTATTTTTTTCTTTTATTAACAGTCGTATCGCATTCGGATAAATTCCCGTTTCGCAAAAATATTTGCATTAAAATTTATTATTATTTTGCAAACTTAATTATAAATCTGGTTGTCTGTCGTAAACCACCCACTCGTATATATCAATGAATGTTGTTTCAATTAAACGTACTTGGCCTTATTCCAAAAATTCCACTTAATAAAAATTTAGAGAAAAGTAGAAAATTAAGTTATGAAAAAAATTATTTTTGTTAGAAAATATCATCTACGTATTTAAAAAAAAAAGTCAGTCAGTTTGCTGTATAGAATTACTTTTGATGTCTATTTATCAAACGGGTTAGCTTCTATTTTAAAAAGTCGGTTTATAAAAAAGCGGATCAAAAACATAAATGGGTGAAGTGTACTATTTCCTTATTTACACGTGTTGACGGTCTGTGGACGTGGCAAAAACCTTCCCCACTCGCTCTTTTTCTCTGTTTAGGAACACTCCCGCTCGACCGGGATTAATTTTAAATCCCTCGATTATCGCAGGAACAAGAAGTGTTCCTCTTCTGCCCACTCCCATTCGATATCCCCGGTTTGTCCGATTAGACCAATGGTGTTCGAGGTCCGGGAACTGACGTACCGAGTGCAGAGGTGTCGAGTTCGGTCAATGCCAAATAAGGAGAAGGTACACCGTCTACTGTCGCTCCCTTCTTCCTGTCGAGATCGCGTCTTGCCTTACTTTCTTCGTGTTTTTAAAGGCAACAGGTGTCTTTTTCTTCTATTGGTAAGTTACACTTAAGTATAGGATGTCGTCCGTGTCGTGTTTTTTCTTGTGTTTTTCTTATTGTCTTTCCGGGAATTCGACGCGGGATCGGTGTTAGGAAGCGAAGATTCCGCTTTACCAGACACGTGCGTGGACTTTAATCGTTTCTCCGTGTGACGTTGCGGATGACACTCGAATCCGAACGCCCGTCACGTTCGAATTTTTCACCCTTTGTTATATTTTTTAACCTATTTCTGCTTCTTTTCCGAACGAATCGGTTCGAAAGTCGAGTTGGGTGTGACTTCGTGGGATAACAGGAAGTGGTTTTTTTTTGAAATAGTGCACTGTTTGTTTTCTGTGACGTTATGGATAGACTGACGAGCGTCTAAGCCGCAGTCTGTTTTTGAAGTTCTTTAAAAAAGGATATCTTTAATTGTTGATGTTTTATAAATATAGTGGATGAAATTGATATTCCAATGAATATGATAATTTGATACTTTAAAATAAACTAACTCACTTCAGAATTTTCTGCCTTCGTTTGTAACTTGCAATGTGTTTCTATATTTATTAAGTAAATAATGGTAGCAAATTAAAGAATCTTGAAATATTCCAGATTTTTTTTCCCCTCTTCTATTTCCTTGTTTTTATCTCCAACCTCTCTGTCTGCAATTGATAGAAACCAAAACAGATCTGATGATATCTTTAAATATAATTAAGTTCATCTTAATTATGTTTAAACAAGATTCATTTTAGCTATAATTTAGAATTATTAATTAATAATTTGAAAGAATTATCTAAACTTTTTCAAACAGTTCACATTTTATATAGGTCACTTTGTGTTATTTATAATAATATAAACAATTGGTAACTAGACTTTGCAGATTACGTTTCTTTTTTTTTAATGGACTTAAATTGCATTTTAAATTTATAACGATTGCTTGAGATATTGTGTTTTTAGTATTCTGTCACATGAAGAATAACACTCCTTACAGTAAATATTTTGATTTTTTTTTCCTGTACTGGGCATCCTTCAAAACTTCATGTATCAAATTTTCATTCATAGAAGACAGTTTGATTCAAAATATTAGATTTTTTTCATGTTAATGTTAATCATCTTACACACACTGTTAACTACATACCTTGTGTTTTGTTCCTTGTATTTTTATTACATATTACTCTAATATAATAAATTGCAACAATTCTTATCTTCATTGAATATTTGATGCATGTATACTTACATCATTATTGTGTAATAAGTGAAAATTATGTACTGTAAAGTCACATTAATATTTTGTTAAATTAGCATATATTCTTTTCTTTTTTTTATAAAAAAAATGAAAAGCATTTAAGATGGATTTATATAAATCTGCTTTCAGATTTATATAATAATCTATTNGTGTTTTGTTCCTTGTATTTTTATTACATATTACTCTAATATAATAAATTGCAACAATTCTTATCTTCATTGAATATTTGATGCATGTATACTTAGTCATATGTCATATCTGGAGAGAGGTCAGACTTAATGAAGATGCTATTCGTTATTAACATTTACAATTTATATTCTTTTCTTTTTTTTATAAAAAAATGAAAAGCATTTAAGATGGATTTATATAAATCTGCTTTCAGATTTATATAATAATCTATTTAAAGCAGATAGTCATTCTGTGCAATTTCTGATTACTTAGAAACTTAGTTTGAGAAGTAGCAGACTACATTCTTGTATAATGTCTTTTTCTGTCCTGCTAAAGAGAATTTATTGATTAGAAACAGGTCAGGAAATGATAGAATAATGATTGATTCCTTGTGTCATTAATGGATTCTTTAGCTGATATCATTTTTGTATAACAGTTGATTTTGTTGGGTTTATTGAAAGGTAGTTGTTATACTTAAACTTTTCTAAGTGCACAAATATTTATTAAATTGTTTTAGAGTATATTGTTAAAACTCAAACATTGTAATCTCGGAATTAATCACTTTAAATATCTTTAAATTTATTCCTCTGCAAAGCGAAAATTGGTATTAACTGATATGAGTTTAAAATTAAATTTTACTAGATCTTATTTAAAAACTAAACTTTTTATCTGTAAAATAATACATTTTAGTTTTTGAATTTTAAATTGTATGTTGGGATCTTATAACCGATGTTTATTTTTCAGACGCCCTGCTGGCCGATCTTCAAAAGACGACGTCCCATCTGAACACCAGCCCGACCTACAAATCTCCCTCGAGTCCCGACAACGCCAGCTACGGCTCTCTTGGAAGCCCCCGGAGCCCCCACCAGTTCCAGTACAACATGGCGTACAGCCCAGCGGCCCACGCGACCGCCCACTCTGCCACGGACAGACACGAATATTGTCAGGGAGAAAAAAATTCAGTGAGTTTAAATTTTATTTGTTTGGAGTTTATAGAGTTATATATATATATATACAGTGGTACTTCAGGTTACGAACGTCCCAGCATACGAAATTTTCAGGATACGACATGAAATTCGAACATATTTTTGCTCCACGATACGAACAAAAACTCACCATACGACGTTACATTAGTTCGCATTTTTCATTTGTTTTTCTTAATACAGTTATTTTTTTNACAATTATCACTGAAATGTAACTCAACAATTCACATTATTAATGCAGCGAAAATTATCACTGTTAATGAGATTGTCTTGTAAATTAGCAATACTTATAATATATTGTAGATACTATTGATAAAAATAATATAGTGTAGGTAACAAAATTTTAAAAAATGTTTTCAATCTTTTTATTGAATCAACAACAACTTAAAATTTAAATTATACAATAATAAGTTTACATTTTAATAGAATAAAGTAAAATCTGGTTCTACTCTATGTTGTGTTGGCTTCAAGTTGAAGATTAAGCAATGTAAGGATTTTTTAAAATCATCTTTTATTGACCAATAAACAAACTCTAGTTATCCATTTATGTGCAAGACATGTTTCGAGCTTTTTGCTTCTTTTCAGTTGCCTTGTTAAACTTTGATAGATGTTTTAAAAAATTATTTGTAATTTTAAATTTATTAAAAAAATTTTTATATTAATATATAAAATAAGAAGTACTATCAATAAGAAGTAAAAATAAAATCCAGACATACATAACTGTTTCTCAAACTGTAACAATTGCTTTCATTTATAGTATAATTTGCTTTAAAATCATAGCTGGTGTGTTTTTGAACATTAATAATTCAGAAATATAGCAGCTGCTTTTAAATCAAATTTTTCTTAAACTAAAATTAAAGTGCTTTCAAATTTACTTCAGCTAATCTTCAAAGAAAACATTTTCTAAACATTTATTTCTTTAGAGTACAGTTTGTGAAAATTTTTAAAAATATTTAATTTAAGTACAAGGTTTTAAAGAGATAAATGTTTGCAAAATGTTTTCCTTGAAGATAAGCTGAAGTAAACCTGAAAGTACGTGAGACTTGGTTTAAGAAAAGCAGTTTCAAAGCAAATTTAATTTAAAAGTTGTAATCTATCTCCTGAATAATTTACAGTTTAAGTATTATTTTGTTTAACGATCATATTTTTATTTAAAAAAGAGAGAGCCTTTATAATCATTTACTAACAGGAGTGTGTTAAATATCTAGAGCAGTATTTTAGTGTAATTCTAGTGTTAGAATTTTGATACACGCTTCTTGTCCTTAGTTACTTATATATTATGCCTTTGTCCATAATCCTGTTACATTAAAGTGTTTTAATGTAACAGGATTGTTGTTATTTATGTTACATTAAAGTGCTTTAATTTAAAATTGTGTGATTCTCTTTCCTTGGTATAACAAGTCCTAGTTCAGAAGAAAGTCCAGTGGACAAAGGCATAATATCTAATATTAGAAGTATATTGTATAAATATATTTATTTTTTTGTATATTATTGTCTGTTTTTTCTTTTTGAAATATTTTCCAAGTTTAAGACAATATTTAACACTTTTTTTAAGTAATAGAAAATGACCGCTGCCCATTTTTCATTTACAGAAATGTCACTGACTTTGGAACATTTTTAAATGTGTTACAGAAGCCAGAATATTACAATTAATTTTGTTACTTGCTTCTGTCAGATATGATCACATTAAAACTTTATCTATTGTAAAACTCCAGTTTCTGTAATTGTCTGCAATAAAAGATATTTAGGAGTTAGTCAACTTTTTATGAGGTGTGACCATCAAACTTTTGTATTACAAGTACTTATTTTAGAACGTATTTCAAAAAATTTCAAAATTTTTAATAATAATCTACTGTTACCACTTTATTTTACAATGTGTTAATTTGCTGTTTGAATAGAAGAATAAGAATATAATTTTTATATGATTATAAGTTTCTGTTTAGAAATAGTTAACGTTGATTTCTCATAGTATGAATACACCTACTTAAATTAATTTTCCTATGATGATATTTATTTTTCATTTTTAGATGTTATAATTGCACTGTCAATAAAAACTACAATTAAACTTATTAAAGTCATTAAATTATAAAATTAGAGGAAAAACTCATACTATTTTAAGAGATAATTGTATATTTTTAATAATTTTTATTTAAAATATTCTTACACCACACTTCATCAGATGTCTAAAAGCTGATAAGTTTTATTTTAGATTATTTGATTTGTAATATATATATTTGCTGCATTTAATGAATGTTATATAAACTTTAATCCCAAAATTAAGTAAAATTTCAAAAATTATATCTAAATAATTAAAATGATTTTTGTCATTATCTCTGAAGTCAATGTGCATTAACTGATTATTAATAGAGAATCCGTAAGGCTAGAGTTTACTTATAACATGTTATTAAATAATTTAAAAATAATTACAAATAATTATTTAAATCACACATAAACAAATGAAATTTAAAATAATAATTAATGTTTTACATATTAAATTCATAATTAAGGAGTTTACAATAATTTATTTCTACCAAACAAACACACAATCATATACAGTTAGTTTGTTTTTTTCTGTAAGAATAACAGATTTCCATATAACTATAATTCAAATTATGTTAATTCTATCAGGTAAAAGATTGGATTTCCAATCTTGAGAAATAGTACATTACTGCGCCATTTGAATCTGTTCAGTTTGCCAAATGCTGATGCATTTGGATTACTTATTGTTACATCGACACTAAACTGATATAACTTGTTACGCTGACTTTAAAAGAAATCTAATAAAAATTTTTTTTAAAAATCCAAATGTCAAAATGTTATAAAATCACATGATTTACAAAAGTGTGATTTAAATAGCTTCATATTTGTTTACACTTTTATAAAACAATTTAAATGCAGAAAAATATCATTTTGAAAATATTGGGAATTTGAATTTTTCATTTGATAGTTGCTGTTTTTCTGTTTTCACTATTTTTCACATCTAACATATTAGTTTCAGTTTGCATTGAATTAATGGACACTTTTCACATTTCTAATTGGTTTAGTTTTTTTTTCTGATTACCAGATTATAAAATAACTTTAGCTTTCATAATTTTGTATTAATAAGATTTGTTAATTTTATGTTAAACAAACATTTTAAGCTTTTTAAATTTTAATTGTATATACTTTAATCTGACACCTGTCATGTTTGACATTTTGATATAAGATTTCTGTAATTGTTTTTTTATGAAACCCAGATTTATAATACAATATAAATTTAGTAATTAATTCAACAAATTCTTATGATAAAAATCTGACCTTGAGAACTATTAAAATTAAACTATTAAAATTAGCGTGATAAATAGAAGATAAAGTAAAATTTGATTAACAGAAAGATACTCATTAAATGAATTAAGATCCAGTAAAATTTTATTTATATTATAGAATGTGATAAAAAAATTCTTTAAGATAAAGAATTTTTAGTGGTAACATAAATCATTTCTTGCCATTTTAAGTTGATAAATGAGCAAGATAATATTTTCACATCTTGAAACTCATGCTTACATGAATTTAATCAGTTTTTTTTAGGAACTAACAACAATCATTGAAATAGGAAAAACATATTACATCAAAGATTTAAAATTAAAATTTTTTTCTATGTTCTAAAGAATTTGTCAAATGTCATATCTATAAATAATTAGTTGTGTGTGTAACCTATATGGTGAGTGAACCTCTAAATTGTAAATAGATGAGGCATAAAATATCTTATAGAGACAAACTAAGATTTTTAGAAGTTAATTTTAAAATTTTGGCTGAACAAGTTAATTAATACATCTAAATTTTTTTTGCAATTATTATAGAATTGGAATTAAAGATTTTGGTCATCTGTATCAAATCAAATGGAGCTTCAAGTGAAAAAGTATAATTAGGTGTAGGTAAAAATTAAATAAGTAAAACGGCCACAGTGGGATAATCATGATGAATTGGGACTGCTAGAAACAAAGTCTGACAGGTTTTGTCTCTCTTAACATAGTTTATTTTCATATTTTAATTTTGTTAATCAATAAAAATGGAACTAAATGATAAGTTAAATCATGTAAAATATTATAAGAACAATTGTCTTGACTTATCTAACATGTTATGATATATACTACTGAATTTACTTTGTAATTAATTTTTAAATGTTACCATTCAAAGTCAAATAGTATTGCAGAAATGACATGAACTATGCATATACTAGATAGTGCTTTTTGTAGCCAGTATTCCTAACTAGATTTTCTACTTGTTTGCTCTGATACAATTCCTATATATGTACTTTTAACAACTAGATTTCTCACAAATTGGAAACTCTGCATGCAACAAAATATTACTACTTGAATGCAGCTAGCAATTATTTATACAATGTATTCATGTTAATTATGTAATACAGTATCTTCCCATTATATTGTGCATGTTGAGATACAAGCAATAAATATCAGATGGCACAATATAATCAATGTGTCTATCCACCTGTTTTGCCTATTTTTGATAGCCATGCCATCTTTCTTTTTTGTGGATTGTATTTCATACAATGGTAGTTTCAATGCTAATGATTAGAATAAGGTAATATTTCTGTGCCGGTAAAAACCAATGTCAACTGACTTTTTAAAAATTATTAGTTAAAACACTTTTATATTTGAAAAACAAAAAAGAAAAATTCAACAATGAGTTGCTTAACTTTCCCATCAACATTTAAGACTGTGTGTGTGGTGCCATCTTTTACAATATTTTATTCTTAAAAACTTTTTATATTTTTAATTATTATAAAAGGACAAAAAGCTTAATTTACAGGATAGGATGGGTTTTATAAAATAATGTAAATGCTAATGAGGAAAATCGTCATTAATTAAGTTTGACCCTACTTGCAATATGACACTTGATCCCCCTCTTATATCCCCACCCTGTCAACCTTTAACCACCAAAATTTAATAGCATCAAATCCCTAATATACAAAACACCTT